TCATAAAGTTGATAATTCTTCTAGACAGTTTCACTATCGTATAACATGGCACGTAGAAGGACGTTAACGACTCTAATATATCCTACTGTCAAAATAATTGTTGACAATGCACCTTGAAATGAGAAAAACACCATTATAAATAAGAACCGTTGTGATCGTCGATGATACTCCAAGCTATGATGATTTATGGTGAATGAATGTTCGTAATTTAATTCACTATTGCTAACTAGGCCATATTTGAATGTTTTTATGAAGTGCTTTCGTGGGATCGAAATATATTTCATTCTTTTTTTTTTATTTTTAGCTTTATTTTGTTTATTAATCTCAGACGCCGATTCATACTTTTGGACTACTTCATATGTGAACCGATATGTTTTATTAATGTATTCGACAATATGACATATATTTTAAAGGGACGCTTCTCCCCTCTCCCCTCTTTTCTGAACTTTTAGAGAATGGCTTATCAGCAACTTTTGAAACTTTTAATGTAGATAGATCCCGATGAGTATAGTAAAAGTTGCCATAGATTCACAATTCTAGATACTTTCCTATAAGAAGATATTGGAATCACAAGGACAAAAAAAATGACTTTCCTTGTCGTCCGTCTTTCTCCTGTAGTTGAGAAACAAGATTGTCCTTCCCTTTTTGTTTAAAAAAAACTTGCTTTTCAAAAACAACGAACAAAATGTATAAACTTTGATGTCTTACAGCGAAAATGTTCCATCTTTTCCAGTTTTTCAGCTTTTGCAGTTAAATATTAATTCTTGAAAGATGTTTTCTAGATAGAGCATACTTTGATACGTATACTGAACAGAAAAATACAAATAAAGTATCTAGAAATTTTCAATAGGGAGAGAAAGAATCTCCTTAATACGAAATCACTGTATAATACTACACGATGATCAACATGATCTTGATCGTTAATTTATCAAGATAAAGTACCACTTTTTGTATTTTCTCGGTTCATCAATTTTCTTGATAGGTAAGTATCATAAATGATAAAACCCATTCTCGTGTATTGCAATACCCAATGTAGAATTCATTCATGTTATAATCCTACTGCTGTTCGTTCCATATCAAAATAATAGCTTGCAACCATTGCAACAATTCTAACAGACAACTCCAGTGTTTTTCGAGTTCAAGATTGTGTCCTTGAAATCAACGTAGTTTTATTTATGGATTAGTTGATTAGTAAAAATTTTTGATTTTACTTTCATACATAGCAAGTATAATTATTGTGCTTGTACATTCTGTATTGTTCATTCGTGTACTTTGGATATAGCTTGTGTGGATTAATCTGTATGTGCAAATCTTATTTATGAAATAAAATATTTCGTATAATTTTACCAAGAATACATAGATTAATGTCTACACTCGAATGACAATTGATAAATGAAGTAATATACAATAAGACACGATGCAAACAAGACAATATTCAATGAAATTAGAGCTAATATTCTTCTTCATTTTTCGACAAAACTAGCTCTAAAAGTACGCAATTTATGTTTGAATGGAAATGGCTGCGCAGTATAGAATGACGGGTGACAACCGTAAAAATAACGACAGATCAATATTGATTTTTATTGTTCATGATAAAAATTCGGCAATGTTATTGACGAAATCCAATACTATCAAAGTGTAACTGTTGCCACCTTGTTGTTTTCTTTTTTTTTCGATCGACTTATTTATAGTGATGATGTCACGGATCATTCGTCTGTGAAAATGGCACCACGACTAATAAACGATATTTTTTTTCATATTTGCCCTCTATCCTATTGTGGTTTCATAACAACATGTATTGGTTAAAAGGAATATAACATTTAACAGATGCAGTGCTTTCCGTATGAAAATTGACTATACTTGTGTTACTTCTCTCCTAGTCTAATTATAGATGACGGCTAGTAAGTTATTGATGTGAGACTCGTAAAAAGTTCTAAATTCAATTCAAAACAATTGACCTCAAACAAGCTATTAGGCCGAGTATGTTTAATTTGTCTGCATTGAATTCAATCTAGAGTTGTTCCTACTGGAATGTACACGAAGATCATAACAGATTTTGTTTAGAATAGTGCTTTTTCCATTTCATGAGGGATCGTCAACGATTATTGTGAGGGTAGTGATATTCGAATTGTTAATAATCGTTTAGATGCTATTTTATAGAATACCGTAAATTTTATATTAACTCCTTAAATTGAAATACTTTTTCTAGATCGAAAACCTGACGATTATCAAATAGATTCATAAAATGATGAAAGCTGGACAGTAATAGATTCGATCGTTGAAATAACTTTATTTGATAATATAATTATATGACTTCAATTATTTATTATTCATGGCTTTTTTAGATTTTTTCCGGTCAATGCTATAGAACATTTTTAAATGTGTTTTGCATTATGTAAATTGATTCATGAATCATTACTTATAATAATAAGTTTGAAAGAAATATTTCTTAATGTTTGCAACTCTATTAGTTTTCATCCATTATTAGATTCGCAGATTTTGTTATCAACCAAATTTGCACTGAGAAGAAAATCAGATGTAATTTACAAAAATCTATATTTCACGTAGAAATAGGAAGAAGATATGAAGTCAAGGAAAATCACAGAGTATCTACTTGAAGTTTTTTCCATATTATTTCGCTGCATTTAAAAGAGTTTTTGCGTACTGATTTAGATTAGAACAACTACCAGATAATATACGATGTCGTTATTATTGGTGTGACACTTTTCTATAATTTATAAACTGCGGAAACCATCAACCATCGATGATGATTCTTATGATTTTGTGAATAGTTAGTTAGACAGATGTTAAAACTTCTAGATCACTGAATAAGCTGATATGGTAATGTTTTTATTGAAGAATGAACAAACTTTGTCGCAAAAATCGACAGTAATCACATTAAAACGTTCCAAAAGATTACAGAATTTAGATAGACTCATGGATCAGTGATGTTCACTAAAATCGATCATACCAATGGCTGCCATATTTTCATAGCGTAATATAATTGTATTTTCTATATTCACATTCAAATAAAAACAAAAACGATTTGATTAACTTTACATGTGACTTATTCTTTCTGTTTCTGATCTTCCATATATCCAATTTCTTATTAATATTTCCGGATATGATCGATTTCAGACCAGATTAATAAAACTACTGGTAGCTTTTTATAAAGAACTTTTTTTCGATAATTCAATAGGATTGTCCACATTGTTTTTCAAAGAGAAAATGACAAGACAAATAAATTTGATGATATAATTAATACAAAGAATACAAAGAAATGAAATGCTTACAGTTAATTTTTGAAATAAGATTCTTGTTTTGAACATAAATTGTTATAAATAATGAATCGAAGTTTTGTATTAATTTTAAATTCGAAAAAATTCGTTTCCAGATTAAAAAAAATCTCTCAAGAAGAACGTTGCGAAAAAAAGAAACAATATCTAGGAATATTCAAATGTCATCATATGTTAATGAATATCAGCCGCCTTCTTTTTTCTAGTAAATGGTCTCTAGCTATCATTTAACTGTTAAAAAGTATCTCGATGAAAATCGAATTGGTTGTACATTACCTGAACATATTCAACGAGGATGGGATCGTATGTATATTTTTCGTATTTATTAATATACATATATATATGAATAATATATTCTTAGGAATCTACACACTCGAAGAGCAACAATTCAATACACGATCATGTATAATTGGACCTGATGTTCAAATTCCAAATTCAATTGTTCGTAAACGACTAGGCACCACACAAATATTAATGAAAACCAATATTGAAATTTTACGAAAAGCATTCGAATTACCTAATGAATTATTTATAAATTTATCTGATGAACATAAATTGTTCGACATAATCGAAGATGACCAACTTAGTTTTGAATGGAATGATGAAGATAATAATAATGAAATAAAACATCAAAAATCAGCAATTGATATAATTCTTAATAAACAACGTGAAAAAAGACGTAAATATGAAGATTATAAATATGATTATGATAATATTGAACCATTATCAATTTATGATATAATTGAAAAAATTCATACAAATGTTGAAAACAATTTAAACAATGAAGATTTAAAATTAATTGCAGATTTAATGCAAATAATAAGTCGACATAACAAAAATCAAATTATGAATATTTATGATGAATTAACTAATGTTCAATTGATTAGTAAATTTGGTGGTGTTCCTAAATTTGTACAGGTTATAAAATTGAATCATTCAAAAAAAAAATTATATAAATAAAAAGATAACGAATGGTCTATAAAAAATGAGGATCTCCATATTTTCGCAATATCTCCTTCAGTTTTCATAGATTCGGACTGAACTTTTTCAAAAGATTCAATGTTTAATTTTCTACAAAATCATATGACAAATGAGTATCATAGAGATAAAAGCAAGCAAAATAGTTACTATAGTAATACTGCTGACATACAATATCAACAACTTCCAAACAGAAAATACAATTGTTCTGTATTTATGTGTTTTCATGTCGAACTATATAGATAAATTTGGATAATCCATCTTGTAGAGCTTCGAAAGCTCTATCTTGTTATTATATTCAAGAATTTCCATAACAAAAGCTGATTACATAAAATAAGCATTACTTTGTTTTTTTTTCAAATTAAAACAACTCGGATTTTCTTTTATTTGAAATAAATAACGTTTATTGAGTTATGAAAATTCTTGAGTGTAGTAATAAGATAGAACTTTTGAAGCTCTACAAAATGGATTGTACAATTTGTTCAAATCTGTCTATATAGTTCAATATGAAAATCAAGAGGGAAGCGACGTCCTCGCATGTTCGCCGAAGTACAAGAAGTACGAGAGTGCAGTGGGAGTACACCGACAACAGAGTCCCGTCGTACAATGTTAGTACAGTTTTATAACTAAGGAAAATCGAGACCTAAATCTAAAAAGATACCGATATACTCGCGCTTTACGCACTCCCATTTTACTCCTACTGTACTCCTCTTCTACTCTAGGGTGTAGCGGAGTACGTCGTTCCCTTTTTGCATGAAAACACAAAAGACAAGACAACAGTATTTTGTGTGTTTGGCAGTTGTTGATGTTGTGTGTCCAGTGTTACTATAGTACTATTTTGCTTGCTTTTATCTCTATGATACCCATTTGTATATGATTTAGTAGAGAATTGAATACCAAATCTTTTGAAAAAAAGTTTAGTCTAAAACTATGAAAACTAGAGAAAACATTGAGAAAATACGGAGACTGTCATTTTTGATGCGCCACTCGTTACTATTTTTGTTTGCAGGCTTTACAAGAAATTCAAAAAGCATTTGAACAAGTAGCTATGAAAACCAATTTAATTTCTATTGAAACTGTTCTTAATGTATTACTTGAAAAAGATAATACATATCGTTTAGCAATGGAACTATTGAAATCATTTAATGAAAATATTAAAAAAACTAAACAACAACAAATATTGAAATTAGAAGATAAGTCTGGTAAACACCTTACATCAATAGAAACAAACAATAGAATTCGGTTCAGAAAAATAAAATAGAAAAAAAAAACTTAACATCCAAATTTTTCGTCATGTAAAATCTTAATACTACATTTTGCTTTTTTTTTTGATAGGCGATATATCTGATCATGATCAAACTGTATTCAATATTTTAATGAAAGATCGTATTAGTCGATTATGTTAGTTGACTATTTGCTCATTATTTTTTATTGACTCTTTTTTTTTCTTCAAGCTGCATCGGATTTGACTATGTTAATTCATGATTTTGAAACAATTCAAAATATTGATACAACTAAAGTGGGTAATGATCGTGATGGTCAAGTAAACTTTATATCCGAACAATTGAATATTATTTTTATACGTGCACATCTTGATGGAATTAAAACAATTTTTCATGCAATGAAATCATCTATTGGTGTTTCATTAAAAGATTTTATTGATAAAATTGAAGCTAGTCTAACAACTAAATTAACTGAACATGATAGTATTATTATTGAATCATATATTCATGATTATCTTTCATCCTTAGTAAGTGAAAATGATTTGAAAATTAAAAAAACATAAATAATAACAATAATAATTTTCTCATTGACCAAATGAGTTGTTTTTCCTTAGACTAATAATGAATTGAAAATTATCTATGAACGTTTAGCACAACAAGGTGTTCTTCAACGTATTGCAATAACTGGAGAATTAAATCAAACGATCACACTGAATTTAATGAAAAAGATTGATACAAATGGATTAGATGCAGTCATTGAATCTATGAAAGATGTTCAACTAGATAATGACTCTATGAAAGAACTTATAGAAGCATTAATGAATATCAATCATTATATTCAAACTCAATCATCTATTTCACTTGATCAAATTCAAAATCAATTGGGTTTTATTTGTTTTTAAATTGACTATCATTAATTATGATCTTGATCTTTTATATAGGTATGGCATACTTTGTTGAAACACGTAATCTTAGCAAACCTGATATTCATGAATTATCTAAAGCAGCTGATTTATATTCTATTATTCATATAAATCTTACTGAAAAAGCGACTATTGATGAATGTTCAACATTTCTCGAACATTTGAAAGCTCCATTTATACGTATATGTATTCAACGAATTTTAGATTTAATCAAACAAGATAATACTATTAATTTGGATAAAGTATCAAATAAATTTTATAATGAACGTATTATTGATCTAATCAATGAATTAATTTATGGATCTGATGAATTTAATCGAAATTTATTTATTCATCAAATTAAAAAACATTTAAAGAAAAATAAAGAATTACCAGATAAACTCTATCGACAAATGTTAAGAGAAAAATTCATTCATATTGATACTAAAATTAAAATAGATACAGATAAAAAGAAAGTTTCAACAATTATCAATGAAATAAATCAAATTTTAATTAATGTAGAAGATCGAATAAAACAAGAACATCTAGTGGACTTATTTGATAGAATAGATGTGTAAGTACAGTATTTGCAAAAAATTCCGCCGCTAGATAAAAAGTACCTCAAGTTTAATCCTTAAGTCTCATAGTTTGACCACAAATAGATCATGTTGAACTCTGATTGCAAGAACTAATCGGCCTTGATCTGAAAGAGCTAGAAGGTCAACACAGATTTTTTCTTCAGACAAGGATATCTCAACATAGAAAACAAATCTCATGACATTAAACCCTTCATTCGACAGCCCAATGCTGCATTGGTTCACAAAGAATTAAATTTATCCCGACCCATCTTTTCTATAGATTTTCATATATTTTAATCCTTTTAATTATTCTTATCCATCATCCTCTACTTTTTTTGGTCCTAGGGAAAAAAAAGTGTTTTTATCGTAAATCCTTTGTAACCCTATCAACCTTAGATTGTTGCTTGCGATCAGAGCTTACCAAGCTCTATTTGTAGTCAAAATATCAAGCAAAATGATTGAAGTTTATGTACCTTTCACTTGGTAGCGGAACTTCTAACGACTACTATAAATGACGAATTTTTGAAAACAAAAACAATTCTAAAAAAAAAAGATTAGTAAAAAGTTATAATCTATTTTTTGTGGATAGAACTTTTCCTGAACGTGTCAAGCATTGGTATAAAACTAAGTCAAATATCCAAAAATTGCAAGTTTCTGCATCCAATATTCAGAAAAATGTGATCGATGGAAAAAATAATGTCAAAACAAGAACAAAGGTTCTTCATTCGAAAAATAAATCCATTATACTAAGTCTAGCTCCTTCAATACATCGCATTACTGATAAATCAATCAGTTCACCAACAAAAACTTTAAAAGAACGAATAACACGAAATATCAAAGATCAGTTGTCAACAACTACAGCTGTCACCTCTGCGAAGCATAGTAGTGAACAAAAAAGATCTTTGCTAAAGTCTGGACCAAAACTTCAATCAATAACACAAATAACAAAAAAGCATTCCAAAATTCTTGATGATACCAAAAAAACCAATAATTTGTCTATTGACAAAGATGAAAAGGAAAAATTGAAATTCAATGCTCGAATTCCATTAGCATTAAAATCAGAAGAACAACAAAAAAGTACTTTAGGTATTGCCCATGAACAGCCAGTCTTATTATCCCCAACACCAATAACAACAGATACAATTAATATGACTAATGTTTCAAAGCCTTCAAGTGAAAGTAAGAATTTCAATTATTGAAATGTAATATAATTAATTAAAGTTCATTATCTTCTTATCTATAGGTGACCTCATTGAACCAAATCAATTATCATTCACATTAGTGCAAACCACAAAAGTAGTCTTTTAATCCATTTTTCTGATGAGAAAAGTCATGAGTTCGCATCTTTAGCATATTGCGGCAAAAATATAGCATTTTTACGTTAGTTTCTAAGTCGATGTCGTGATCTCTCTGAGGAACACGAGAAAAATTCACTTTCAAATTTCGACTTGAAACTTTACATCAAGATAGACTTTACCGAGAAGAGTTTCTTGTGAAAGTTTCAGATCTATTTGTTGTTCATATCCTAATATATGACCATAATAAAGAGTGTGTCGTTTACATCGCTCATATATACTGTTAGATTCGATATTCGTATTTCAGAATAGACCCAAAAAATCAAAAGATCTAAAGCTTTCACCATAAACTATTCTCGTTGAGGTCTGTCACTGTGTAAAATTGCAAGTCAAAATTTGAAAACTAGTGTTCTTGGTGTTTCTGAGGGATGCCACGACATTGACTTGAAAAATACCGCAGAAATTCAATATCTTCATAGCAATAAGCTACGAGCCTGAACACTCTTGAGAGCATTCATCATTTAGAAGAGTCTACATGATGTATATAATCTCAAATCAAACGTGATTAACCAATTAGGAAAATTGTCTCATAAACCAAAAAAATTTAAATAAACTTCAGATTAAATCGATTCTGTAGTTTTATATTTATTGAAATAAAACTTTTTAAAAAATGATGACGCGGTAGGAAACAATCGAACATATCAATTCTCTTGTATTCAAACAGGAAAAAAGTCAAGAAATAGACAATGAACAATCAAATACAATAAATACGACTATTGACTTTGAAAGACAGCAGACAAATGTACAATTTGATTTGAAAATCAAAGCCAAAGAAATATCTGATTTATTACAACAACCAAATGAATTGCATGAAGAAAATTTTGAAAAACCTGATACATCATTTATTGTAAAAAGCATCGAAACATTGCAAGGTGATCTTGAAATTATTCGACCTGAAACGATTTCTACTGGTCAGTTGAATGATTTTAATGCAATATCAATATTCATAATTGTTCATATATAGGTAAAATGAATGAAAATAAAACTCTCAATTTTGAATTAAATTCAAATGCAGCTCTTCTTTTCTATCCTCCATCTGTATTAAATGATTCAAAACAAGAAATAAATACAATTGTAAGTGGTAGAATAGCAGAATTTGTAAATGATTCACAATTTGTCAAAACAAAAGCCCAACGATTATTTTCTAAAACAATACCAACAAACATTGTTCGTCAACCAATTGAAGAAGATACAATCGATAGGAGTTCATCATCGTCAAATCTTACAACCAATAATGCAGAAACTATTTCCGTACGTGCAATTATATTCTCTCGAGAATTTTATTTAAAAACAAAAGATCTTATAGAAAATAATTATTTTTTAATTTCTGTCTATTGTATAGACTGTAATTGAAGCTCGAAAATTGTTAGGCCCATCAAATCGACCATCTGATGAGCCATCAATACCTATTTCAACACTTCCATCTGATAATATTAAATCATCTGCTAAAACTCTTCATCGTAATCTTCCTAAATCAATAAAAAAAATTGAAGATATTTATATAAATTCTTTAACAAAAGCTTTACGTAACTTATTTACTCGTTCAGAATATCATAGTGTAAAATTACAAAAAATTCATGAAGAACTTATTACATCTGGTCATATATCACCATTAAATGAATTCTATCGTTCACCAAGTGAAGCTTTACGTGTAACACTTGATCATTGTAGTACTTATGCTGATTTAATTAAATGGACATTATCATTATTACAAACAAATAATAAACGAAATTTAATTGATTTTGGTCATGATCTTTATTCGATTGCAATTGATTTAGATTTTGCATTAATTGAACGTATTGATAATACACGATGTGCAATTGATATACAAGAAAATCTCAAATATGAATTACAAACAATTACTGAAACTGATTTACGAGGTATATAATAAATAAAACTTTTAATAAACAATCATTTTGTTTATATATATATATATATATATATTTAAAAGAAATTAATTCTTATTTAAATGCTTCTCAATTGGATAAACTAGTTCATTTATCAAAAAAGCTTAATGTTATTTCAAAAGATCGTATGATATCGGATCTTAATTTATTACTTCTTCATCTTATTCAAGTTTGTCATACATTCGAACTTAAATATCGTCCCATGCAAACCCGTATTCGTGTATGTCGATTTTCAATAATCAAAATCAGATCTATTCGATATATATGTTTATATGTTAGCGTTCAATCGGGAATTCGACATTGAATGGACATTCATTTAGATCATTCTTGAATTGATCAGCTAAAATACGTCTAATCGAAGATTGACCGGAAAATTTTAGGCGAATTGAAAGCTTAATATGGTCAATCTCGTATTGACAAACATATTGTATGAAAGCAAAAGCTAACCATAACACATGAAATTTTATTTGCAACATCTAACCAAAAGCAAATAACACAAAAACAATCAACGAAGAGCGTGGGTATACTTGCTCTTCTCACCATACTTAAATCCTTCATTGGTTTTTTTTTGTTTTATTTTCAGGCAAATCTTTGTTTGGACGTATTGTAACTAATTAATTCAAGAATGGCTTGACTGAGTATTCGTCCTATGTTGGATCTCAGATTGGACGCAAACATATATATATATATATATACCCCTGGAAAAAAGAAACTGCATTCAGTATTTTAAAGAAATCTTTTCTATAATAAGATATCTTTTAAAAAATAATGATATATTCTGCAAGTTCATGGAGTTTTCTATCACCCTGTATAATTAGGTCTTCATTTAGATCTATTTATTATGAAAACAAATTTCATACAACAAAGACACCCTCATATCAAGATTCTCACGGGTTTGATTTTGTCACTGTCATCAAAATAAGTTTTTGAAATTTTTTATTAATATAGAATTATCTTTTTAAAAAAGCAATCATATATTCTGACAGCGCTTGAAATTTTCTATCCTTCTATATATTTGGTTACTGTCTTGCAGTTATTTATTATCAAAATAATTTGAGTATAATGATGACAACCTCAATTGACAAGTACGAAAATTAGCCGTTTTTTATGCTTTTTCGAATTGTACGTACAAAGGAAATAAGTTTTTACAAAAGTCATTATGTATGCTGATAGAGCTTGAAATTCTCTATCATTCTATATATTTTTGTCTTATCTTATATTTATATGGTGAAAAATAACTGAAGTAGTATTTAAACATCCATTTTAACGAATCTTAAAAAACTGTATTTTCTCCTATCACTATCCTTTTTATTTCTAGTTTGTTATCACGTTTATTATTACTTCAGATATAAATTTTGAAACAAATAATTATATCTTCTAACAATGACTTATTTCCTCGATCATTTTGAGCTTGTGAAACAAAAAACGAAATAGATAGACAAAAAAATCCAGTTTTTTTACAGTTTGTCAAGGACCATTGCTGCATAATACTCAAATTATTTTTCAGCACATATATGCAACATAAGACAAAAATATATGAAATGATAGAGAATTTCAAGCTCTATCAGAATGCATAATTACCTTTGTAAAAACTTATCTCCTTTATACATATAATTGGACATAAAAAATCAAAAAAAGTAACCAAAAACGTGAATGTTTCGTACTTGTCGATTAAGGATGTCATCATTATACTCAAATTATTTTGATAATAAATAAGTGCAAGACAGTAACCAAATATATAGAAAAATAGAAAATTTCAAGCGCTATCAGAATATATGATTGCTTTTTTAAAAAGATAATTCTATATTAATAAAAAATTTCAAAAACTTATTTTGATGACAGTGACAAAATTAAACCCGTGAGAATCTGGATATGAGGGTGTCTTTGTTGTATGAAATTTATTTTCATAATAAATAGATCTAAATGAAGACCTAATTATACAGAGTGATAGAAAACTCCACGGGCGTTCAGAACATATCATTATTTTTTTAAAAATATCTTATTATAGAAAAGGTTTCTTTAAAATACTAAATGCAGTTTCTTTTTTCCGGAGGTATATATTATTTTCTCTTTTATTTTTGTTTATAGGAAATAGCCGAAAGATTTAAATCTCGAGCTGTTACTGATCTTGTACGTAAATTAGATGAAATTGAAAAACGTTTAGCAAAAAATTTTTCAATAACATTTCATGGTCTTAGTAAACGTATGAATGAATCACGATTCATATTAATGAAATAAATATGACAAAATCATAATCATAGTTTCTTTTTCTGAATAATAAAATTTTTTATTTGTCTCCTTGTCTAAGACAAATATTCGGTGGTATTTTTTTTTCTTTGTTCAATAAAAAAAAACGAAAGAAAGAAAGAAAGAAGATAGTTCATATATCTGTTTTATTTTCGTAATCGATCCAATTTGTTAACATCATGTAATATTGATGATATTGATGAATAATATGAAAGTAAATCATTAAGTGATGTTCGATAATGTTGATCAATCATTGATAATTCTAAATCGATTCGTGAAAGTGTTGTTAATTCAAGAAGAATATCAAAACAAAATTTTATATATGAAAATTGTAATATGATAGATGTATGTTCTTGTTGATAACGTTTTTCAGCATTGACCATTATTCGACAAGCATTAATAATTGTTTGAACTAATTTTGATGTTGCTGAACTAGTTATTTTGCATAAACCTTTTGTTGGTAAACGAAGAATAAAAGAACATTGACCTTTAATATCATTAGATTTTAATGAATTTAATTTTTGTCCAAATTCATATAATGTATTTGCTGAAAATAGAGGTAATTTTTGTATGCGAATTTGTTCAAGTTCTTCATATGAAAGATTATTATTTTCTTCAATAATGATTGTTGATTTTGAATTTTCCATATCAGACATTGATAATGATGATGATGGTTTAGATGTTGTTGTATTTATTAGATTAGCTCGAAGTCGTCTCATTTTTCGTGGTATTTGTTCATGTCGAGATGTATAATATTCAGCAAGAACAGTTTGATTATTTGGTTGTAATTTAATTAAGTTTTTCAATGTTGTTTCATATAATTGATTATTACGAGACATTTTATATGCACATGCTTTACGATATAAAGCACGTACATTAATTGGATCTATTTCAAGTGCTTTATTACAATCATCAATTGTTTTTTGTGGCTAAAAGAAAGTTTTGTTTTTATTGTTAAGGATAACACCGAATAAGATCGTCAATCTGCAACCCCTTCTATGTCATTTTCAATAGAATAGGAAAGTAGACAGAAATATGACAAATTTCATGCTCTAATCCTTTTATTCTATTGAAAGTGAGATCTAAGAAAGTGGCAGATCGATAATCTTATTCGGCTATGTTCTTTATTATAATTGGAATTATACCTCGAATACTTTTAAATAACATGCAGCTCGATTTGAATATAAAGATGCAACCTCTGGTTTAAGTTCAATACAATATGTATAACATTGAATAGCAAGAACAAAACAAGCATCAAGATAAAGTTGATTACCACGTTCTCGATACCAATCGTATTGATTTTTATTCGAAAATTCATCTTTAGTTTTTATGTATGTTAAATAACGTTCATCATCATTATTATCTTTTGGTAATTTTTCTTGCCATGTTTTACCTTCTATTTTATTTAGTTCAATAGTCAATCTAAATATAATAATTGATTCGATTAAAATCTCTGTATAAAATTTTTAATATTTACTTTTCACATGCACGTTGTGCTAACGTATGACTATAATCAGTAGATGGTACACGTGCATAATCAGCATAACTGAAAAGAAGACTACAAAGAAAAATAAAAAAAACATGCAAATCAGTTTTCTTTTAGTAAAAAAAAAATCAAAACATACTTTTTTTCATTTTCAAATGCTCTCGCTCGACAAATCAATGCATCTGTATCCATTTTATTATATTGTAATGCTTCGCTTGTATATTGTATAGCATGTACGTAATTATTAGCTTTTAAATAACAATTAGCGCAAATAATTAATGTACTCACAATATGATCTGCATGATTGTGATAATCTAGAAACAAACAAAAACAAAAAAAAAGAATGAAATAAATATTTTTAATTGATATTATATAAAAATCTAACCGAGTACACCATTTTTAAGCATTTTTTTCGATGCATCAGTAGTATTTCTAACATCATTTAATCCATTATATTTTTGAATATCACGATAAAGACAATTAAGTGTCGAAGGTCGAGAAGATTTTGACCATAATTTATCATGAAATGTTGATGAACGATTATTTGATTGTGATTTTATTGAATCACGTAACCAATTTTGTATAGTAGAACTAAAATTTGAATTCGATATTTGATCATTATAAGAATTAGTTATTGTTGATCGTTGTTGAGTTGATATATTATGAAAATGATCGTTAGTTTCAAATGGATTTGAAGATATCTAATCAAAAAAAAAAATTATTCAATTAAATAAACAACTAAAATATCCTCCGGGCAAAAAAGTTAGATTTAATATTTTTAATATGTCACTGCTATAAATTAATATTCTTACAAAAGTAATTATATATTCTGATAGCACACAAAATTCTCTACAATTATATATATATATATTAGAGCCCATCGGATTCATAATTGTCGAACCCGAGCGAAGCGTACTTGATACTTTCAATGAAATCTTCTAATTGAAATAGGATACCGTCTCGAAGATACGAGATACTTTTTTCCACTTTATTGTATTCATTGACTAGTGTACTCTACACGTTTCTCAGACGAGTCATCTGAGAAATGTGTCGAGTAGAGTGCATCGGGTTCAAAGTTGTCGGACTCAGCCGAATCCATGTCTAGGACCAATCCGATGGGCTCAAATACACGTATGTTTTGAATTGCATTCGTTCGCTAAAATAGAAATTCAAGTACAATGAAAGCATTCTTATTATCAAATTCTCCAGAAAAACATTTTTTGTTTTTTTTTCAAATTTATTCTAATGTAGGAACAAGTTATTACAAAAGTAAGTATAAATTCTGGAAGCAGGTGCAATTCTCTATCATCCTATACTTTTGCCAGTTTTGAGTTCTAATTATTAAATGACAAATATTTCGAATGTTGTCAATGTACTCTACTTCTGACTCCTTCACTCTTGAGTACTCCACATAACTAATTAAGCAATCTACGATTGGTGATCTAATAATCACATAAGATGTACAGGTAATTATACACTTGTCAACCCTGATCTTAATTTAATTCAGAGTTTTTTTGCCTTGAATGAATCATTGTATACAGAGATATTGTTCAAACTCAACAACACTTAACATAGAAATATGATACGTCAGTACCATAACAATATTCGAAATATTAATTGAAAGTCAAGACTGACAAAAGTATAGAATGATAGAGAATTTTACGTGCTTTCAGAATATCTATCTACTTTTGTGGCAGCTTGTTTCTATTTTACAATAAATTTCAAAAAAATGAATGAAAAAGAAACAAACAATGTATATTCGGAGAATCTAACAATAAGAGTGCCTTTATGGTACCTGAATTTCTATTTTATCGAACACATCCAATCCAAAACGTACATATATATGGTTGTAAAGAAATTTCAGACGCTATCTGAATATGTTAGTAATTTTGTAAGAATATTAATTTATAGCAATGATATGTTCAAAAAATATTAAATCTAACTATTTTTTCTTCCAAAGTATATATAAATAACTTACTGAAGTTTGTTTATATGATGAATATGTAGTTGATACTGTTGTCATATTATTATTATCATATAAATCATTATAATCATCATTTGATATAGCTGAAAATTCTTTACGATTATTATTATCATTTATTGTATATATTGTAGTTTCATCAATTGTACTACTAGTTATTATTTGTTTTGTTGGTGGTGTTAATGGTGGTGTACGTAATGGTTTCTGATCGATTAATTCTGGTGGATCATCATCATCCATTGTTGGTGAAACATTTAAATTATGTGAAATATGACCATCATCATCACTCATATTTCCTGTGAAACCAGCACTAGCTTCATCACCAAGTGCCATATCATCATCATCATCATCATTATCAATAGCTCCAGTATCGAGAGATGATATTTGAGAATGAATATTTTGTTGAAATTGATTTATATTATCACAATGTTGAAAATGATTATCAAACATAGTTGGCGAAGCTTCGTCAGGATCTATACATGGACGTGAATGAATATTTGATCTTAAAATAAAAATTTAATATTTTTAAAAAAATTTAAAAAGATTTATTTGATTACTTTTGTGGAATATCAATATTCATGGATTGAATCGATTCATTGGTAGTTTTCTGTTGTTCTTGTTCTTCTTCTTCTTCTTCTTCTTCTTCTTCTTCTTCAACTTCCAAGATTGGAATTTTGACTGGTGCTGCCTAGAAAAAATCGTTTTTATTTAATATAATTTAATATAATTATTTAAGTTACAATTGATGGTTGAGTATTAACTTCTTCTTCATCATCACCATCATCTTCAGTAATAGGTACACGAACACCTTTTGTCTTTTGAACAGTTGGAATTGTTTTCAATAGATTCTAAAAATAAATAAATAAATAAATAAATAAATAAAAGAGATTAATTTTAGCAATGATTAATGTTCATAAACTATTCGTATTATTTTATACGAATGAGAATCTATAGAATTCATAAATTTTCTCTCTATTTTGTTGACATATCTGTTGTTATTCATAAAGAAAAAAAAAATTTTTACTTTTGCTTCATCATTTTCTTGATCGACAGTGAGAAGACTATCAAGATCACGTTTAGCTTCATCATATTGTTGTTTAGCAATTAAACATGATGCTCGACGAAACAATGCTATAAAACCAAAAATATAAATTTTTAAAAAAAAGAAAACTTTTATTATTTTATGAATAAACCTTTGATATGATGTGGATTGGTTGATAATATTTGAGAACAATCCGTAATTGATGCATCATAATTGTTCAATTTATAATCTAGAGGGAGAATACGAATAGAATAGATAATTAATGAAGAATAGATTTTGATTACTAACATGCTATCGCTCGATTCATATAAGCCATTGGATTTGTATTATCAAGCATAACACTTTTTGTATATAAATCAATTGATTGTTGATAATTATTAGATTTAAATGCAATATTTCCATTTAGACGATGTTGTTCAGCCATATGAAGACGTTGACTTTTCTCATGAATTGGATTCAAAGGATGAGATTTATTTGCTAATTATGAAAAAAAGAAAATAAAAGAGAACAATATAAAAATGACCATATATTTTGTTGTGATCAAAATTAAAATTTCTTTATGGATGAACAGGTTAAGGTAAAGAAAGACAAACAATAAAAATAGCAACAAGTTTTTGTTTTCTTTCACAAAATTTATTAACAAATATTATATGAAGTGTGAATGGAATAGAGGTCTCGCCCTCATTCACAGTCGCACACTAGGCACAATCCTCACTCCGCCAGATTAGCAGTGCAAGCAAACATGAAGTCTTGAAATTCGGTTTCAAATGCACTAAATCTCAAAGAATTTAATAAGATAAGATGACATCAACAACAATCTACTTTACTAAAGGTGTGCCACAATCAGAAATGGATTTAGAGATTCGGGACCAAATCCTTCGTATTTGGATTTTAATTTGGTATTAAAAAAATATACAGAGTATCTTAAAAGTCACGCTACATTTCGTATTATACATATTTGTCACAGTTGAAAAATATTTCTCATTATTCATTATTTATAAATCATTATCTATCGTCAAGGGAGCCTATGAGATACCCTGTAGCTCGTTGATAACGATTTATAAATTATAACCATGAATAATAATAAATAATATTCAGACGCGTGCAATATGTACAATAAGTGTAGCGTGACTTTTGGGACACTCTGTATAAATAGTTTGCTTTTCGATAATGGTTACCAAATTGCAAACTATTAATGTGGATTTGATCCAAAAGCAAATTCATGCTCAGAATTCGAATCCAAATCAAATATTAAAGTCCTTGGTACTAAATCTATTCTAGATTTGTCGCACTCTTATTTCAGATCCATACCAAACAAAAAAAAATGTTAACTTCGTCTAGTCAAAATTGAAATTTTAATTTTGATCATAACATATATTTAGAAACGAACTTGTCTTTTCATCTTTATCATTGTTATTATCGTCATCCTCATCATCATCTACTTCATTGTCTTCATTATCACTATTCAATTCTTCAGCAAGTTGTTGATCTAATCTAAAAATAATATTTAAAGTAGAAAGTCATTTAGAAAAATTCTTGTCTATTGAAATACACTTACTTTCCCCATTCATCATAACTTCTTGGTACTATTCGTTTCTGTTTACCATTACTGTTTATCACAGATGCTGATGTAGTTGGAGTAATTGTTTTACTCTTTTTTAAAAGAAGAAAAAAAGAAAAGAAAAACAAACCGTAATTAAATATAAATAATTAATAAAGATCTTATTGATTACTTACAATTATAGACTTGGATCGGATTGGTACTGAATCAAGGCCATTATTCTGATGGTCTTTAGAAATAATAGATGATGTTCTATGTTTTTGCTTCATTTGATTAAGAAAATCATCCAATTGTTGACGTTCCTCATCGGGTAAAGCTGATCTATCAAGCGGAGCTTTATCTTTTCGAAGGATTTGACTAGAAAATAGTTGATATATAATTTCTTTTTTCTTTCGAAAATAGAAAAAAACAAACAAGAAATTCTACCTGTTCGGTTTTATATCTCGAATTCGATTAAGTGTTAATTGTTCTAAATCTTGAAATGAACCTATTTCACCACCTCTATAATTTTTTTAAAAAATAATTTTCAATAAAGAAAAAAATCAACATTTAAATTTATATAGTATTTTACATTAATTCTTTGTATATCCGTTCAAGTTCTTTTCCATCTGTACAATTTTGTATATATTTATGTTCAAAATGACTCAATGGTATATTATATTTTTTTGTATAGCCTGCTAAAGCGGCTGTTGTATCATCCATCTACAAAGATTTTTAGATAATTTATATATATATATATATATATATATCATATTGAAGTTTGTTTTATTCTTTTATTATTTTTTTTTTGCTTTGTTTTTTGGTACAATTGAGAACATTCTGTTTCCTATCTATACATCAAGAAGTAAGTAAATAAATGAATAATGAAAGATCTTTCACTTCTTTTCAAGTGTTTATTATCCCATATACATAAGTCCAAGAGAATAGATACGTTTGTAATGCCTGTCTCGTTTGTTCTCTATCTATTATACAGGCCATACTATATTATTATTTGTTGATTTAAAATGTACTGAGAGATACATATTATACATATACTGAAGAAAAGAAAAGAAAAAAGAATATAATCGAGTGGTACGATTGTCGGAAGAGATAACATGATATGATGGGTCGATACGTGTGGATAGAATGAATAAATACTAAGGACAATTGAATATTTGTTCGTCAGTCGAGTTAGCCTGTTACCCATAATACATCTACGAATACATTTCAGTTACATTTGTTAAAGAAATGGCCGTTAATTATTTTACAATTTTTATATTTTTTGCACTTATTTTAACTACATTTTCTGCTACATTAAAAGCACCATTTAAACAGTGTTCACGTATGTATAAACATTCATTCATCTATTTTCTGTCTAATTATTATATTTGATAATTTTAGCACCAAGTTCTAGTGAAGTTATTAAGGTTTCAGTAAATGCTCCTTGTACAGAAGAATATTGTACGTTTTATAAGGGTACTGATGCTCGTCTTGAATTTGTATTTAATTTAAGTAAGAATTTTTAAAAAAAAAAAGAAAAAGAATTTATCAAAAAAAACAAAAATTCTATTTTTTTCTTTTTTAAAAGAAAAGAAATCTCATAAAGTTCGAGCTAAAGTAGTAGCAACAATTGGTACAATCGATCATGATTTTGCTTTACCTAATTCGGATGTTTGTCAACAACTCGGCTGTCCACTTAAAAATGGTGTTCAATATACATACTATAATAGTATGTATGTTAGTCCAACTTATCCATCGGTATGTATAATCATATATTCTTTTTTCTCTTGTATGATTTCTATTTATTTTATATATGTATGATTTTATAGGTAAAAGTCAATCAAATGCGTTACTATTTAATCGATGGTAAAGGCCGTGAGCTTGTTTGTATCTCACTACCTGTCATGATCACTGAAAAAGGTTCGCAACAATGAATGGCAACGATTGATCGATTCATACATTGTTTGTCAAACAAAGAATAAACATTATACTCAAACTATTCGTACAGGCTTATGAATGTCTCGCTTTTTGTTCTCTTTTTCTTTTTCTTTTTTATTTCAACTACACTTTTCTTTATTTATGCATGGTTTTTTCTTTATTTGTTTTTTAAACTGCAATAAAATGCCATAAAAAAATAAAAAAAAAACTAAAATTTAGTTAAACGAAGAAACTGAATAACACAAGAGGGTCGAGACTGAAAAAAAGAGAGAAACAGGAAAACTATCAAAAAGAAAAACAATAATGCCATTATATATGGAACGTCCATTTTCTACGAAAAATGATCAAACATGTAAGAACATTTTCCTTTCTATTTATCTCTATTTAATGGAAAATAGGGAAATAATAATCAATTACTTATGAAAAAAAACACAAGAAAAAAAAGATTTTTTCTTTTAATTTCTAAGATTCAGCAACCGAATATCGTGAAAGTTTTATGTCACCACGTCGAGAAGATTATAGTCCTCATGTAACTTTACCAAAACTTGATTCTATACGATCATCATTAACCTGTTCATGTCTCTCTTTAAATATCGATTCAAATACACCGTCGACTTCATCTGAATATCGTCTTTGCTTTGAAAATCATCATCCGAAACGACCATATGTCTTTCATGAACGACCAAGTCATGTTTTTGATTATGTTCCAATGCCAATTAATAATAAATCTTCATCACGTTTATCAGCAAATCGATCTGTTTTAAATAATACTGAATATCAAGAACGATATCGAAATTATCCTTCATTTATTCCAGTACACGCGCTTATGCCACCACATCTTCCCAGCAAACCTAATGTACTATCGGATACACAACAAAAACGAGAACGTATGGGACATAGTCAATATTTCCATCAACTTATTTTAGATAGTGATAAATTAAATGGTGGAAAACGATCATCGGGTACGAGTGAACAACGTACTGCTTTTCAATGGCCTCATCGTTTGTCTCTAAATCAACAACATACAAAACAACAAGAAGCACCAACACCAGTCTATTCACAATATTATATACCTAGAGATATTTATGAACCTCTACCAACAATACAACGAACAATAATTAATGATTTCAATTAAATTTCAACAGTTGATTTCAAACAAACAAGAAAACAAAGACTAACCCAAGAAGTGAATTAGATTCAAATTTCTTATATTAGATAATTCTTTTAAAAATTTATTCAACTAAATAAATATTCAAACAGCAACCAGATTCTGATACTTGACAAAGAAAGGAACTAATTCATTTCACATGATTAATCACATCAATATTATTTTATTTCTTAATTGTCTCGAGAACGAAAAACAAATTCGACTTTCTGTCCTTAAATCACATAGCTGACTGTGAAACATAATTTTCAGATAAGAATATTCTGAATAACATATTCAGCATTTTCTTACTTATTATCATATTCGCTTAAACAGATACAAAATATACCATTGTTATTTTTATATGAGACAAAGGTATTCAGTATCTGAAACGAAATTGCAGAAGAAATTTAAAATGCATGCTATAAGGTTTTTAAATATGGCAGAGAAAATATTCCATCTTGTCAACATTATTGCTTTTTTTTATTGTTTTGAAAGAAAAAAAAATGCCATGTTCGAATTATTTAAATGTTCTATAAACACTTTAATCTGCCTTCTTTTACGTACGAAAAACAAGCTGTACTCTACCAAGAGAACAACACCAATGATTGTATTATGATATCGATATATTAAATTTAATCAACTAACGAGAGAATTACTGAATTATAATTCATTACTTTTAAGCTCATATTTTCAGCATTTAGACAAAAGACCTCGAGATTAGAATAAACTTAAACTGACGTGACCCAAACGCAAAAAAAGGAAAAATGCCTTACTTCAAGAATATGCCAAAGTTATCCTCTAGACATATTAGCTATTTCAAGTCTACCATCAACATGTATCAGGAGCATATTAATGTAAGCTCATTTTATATAAGTCTGGTTGACAATAAAGCTCACATACTTCATCGTACTTTAAGATTCGAGTACCAGTGAAGTATGTTGAAATATTTGGGCTTTCTTGCCAGATAGAATTATATAAAATAAATTAACACTAATATGTTTGTGATACACGTTGATAGTAGATTTGAAATAGCTACAAAGTTCTAGAGGATAGGTTTGACATATTCATAAAGTAAAGCATTTTCTCTCTCAATGTGAGTCCATAAGTTTTCTCTATAGAGTTACGAGAATATCACTGGATTTAATCATAGAACGTAAGACAATTGATGAGCGAACTTTTGACTTAATATTGTCTAGATAAGAAGGCTTCATTTATCCTAAGTATATCTAAAAAAATTTCAGTCAACATGATTGATTCCTTCTCGAGATATTCAATGTTCAAAAAACGATTCACTTTCAGAAATAGTCATGATCGAAAGTTTTTTAACTGTTAATATCTCAAGAAGGAAGCAATGATGCTGACTGAAACTTTTAGAATATTCTTAGGACAAATGAGACCTTCTTATCAATAAAATTTCGCATCAAAAATTCTTTCATCAATTGTCTGATGTCCTATGATAAAATTTTCGTAAGCCTGTAGAGAATATCTACGAACATGCATCCATTCGACTTTATTCTAGGTGTTGAAGTTTTCTATCTACATACCGGAAAATATGAGCTCAAAAATGATAAAACAGTTTCCTCGCAAATATCTTTCTTTCATCGAAAATATTATTTCAATGTCAAAAAAAAAAAAATAAAATTCTTATTTATCATATAAGAAATTTTTTTTTACTTAGCCGGTCGATCTAAGAAGAGAGAGAATGACATTGATTTTGATTGACTTCTAACAATATCAAACATTTTCGATATATAAGATCATTACCTTTACTTAGCAATAATTTGATTAACATATTTTTATTTCTATTCTAATCGCATATAGATGTTGATCTATTAAATATATTTTTACATTAGTTCCGATTTCAGTCGAAAATCCATGATGATTAAACTAATGTTATTACTTGGCACTACACAACTAACAAAATAGAACATACCCAACCATAAATATCAACCAAGGTTATAGAGTTTAATAATACATTAAAAAAAATCATATCCAAGATTTAAATATCAGATAATCACATTCGAAAAAATATCTTAATGATCATCATATTTAAATCGATGGATTTAAAGAAAATATGAATTATCTAAAACAAAAAAAAAACCTAACATTCATTAGTTTAACATTTCAACAGTAAATAAAATATTTTTTTTTCTTTGATTTCAAATAGGACATGGATAGTTTTACTTTTCTTTTTTTGTTTCACAAAAAAAAAAAGAATTTCGTGTTAAATTATTAGTAAAGTAGACTTTTCAATGAAAAGATGAATGCACTTTCAAAAGTTGGAATGATTTTATGACTCAGGAAAGTGAAGTCTTTTAAAGAGATAGAATAACAACAAAACTCTGTTTTTTTTTTCTTGTAATTTTTGAACCTACAAAAAACTCTTATACACATCAGACATATTTTGTCATAATGGGACAAAAAAAAAGACGAAAACAAAAACCAAAACGAAAAAACGTCAACATGCACACACACACACACACATATAACCAACCACCAGTAATAAAGTTGAATGAAAGAACAATACATTTTTGAAACATCATACTAAAATGAGTATTTATATACAAACGCAACAAAAAGAAAAACAACACAAACACACACACTGATCTATTGACCAGAATTTCACAGTTTCCTGTTTTTTTGTTTATCGCCATCATTATACGATAAAAACACTATTGATATTCATCATTAAATCAATCAAGTAGAATTTTTATCGATATTCATGTTTTGATCATTAGTAGAGTCAGTCGTTGTTTTCATTTGTTTTGATCGTCTATGACCAGATCGATTAGTATCCTCAGTAACATCATTAGATTTGCTTGACTGTGACGAATCTGCTGTTATTGGATTTGTAACAGCTCCTATTGTTGTTGTTGTTGTTGTTGCTGTTTGTAATCTTGTCTTTCCTCGAGTATTTGCCGCTTGAGGAGCAACATGTGGATAGAGTTTTGATATACTACCAATAGCTTTTGTACGTCCTTCACGAAAAATAAGTTTCATTCCAAGACGAAGATATTCAGGTGATTTAATAAAACGAAAACGAACATTAGCACGATCACCCGTATGTAAATGTTCAGCAGACATTGATACAATCGTTGCAGTTTGACGAATACTACCGCAATGAACTAAATGAAAAAAAAACCATATAACTTTACAAAAACTTTTAAATAAAAAAAAATATTTGTTTTACCCATTGCTTGATATTTAGTACTGATCGTTGTTGGATGATGTAATATAAGTAGATCAGCTTCAAATTCCCAATAAGCAATAGGTGGAATGGCTGGTGAAAGTAAAACCATACCTTTACGAAGTTCAGATTTTTTTATCTATAAATAAGATTTTATTTAAACATTCAAAATAAATCTTTGTTTTTTTTTTTGTTTTTACTTTTCTCAATGCAAATGATGATGTTTGTCCACCTTTACATTCTTTAACAGGCATTCGCTTTCGATGGATACCTAATACAAAAAAAGAAAAAAAAAAATATTTGTTTCCAATTATGAAATATTCTTTGTTACATACTTCGAATTTGTACTGTTTTAAATTGTCCAAGTGGATCAGGTCCTAATTGTAAATTATCACCAAGTTTAATAGTACCTCTTAATGTTGTACCACTAACAACAGTTCCAACACCAGGTACTGCATAAAGATCATCTATTTGAAATTCAGCTGGTTCATCAATACATGATTCCATTCGAGTTGTTAATAAATTTAAAAATTTTTTTAATAAATCTAAATTTTCACCAGTAACATTTGATACTTGAAATATTGGACATAATCGTTCACTGGTAAAATTGGTTGCACAAGTTATAACATCATCATTATTTTGTACTAATAATGGCATTTTACGAACACCTGGTGAACGAAGAATTCTTCTTAAAAGTTGCATTGTTTCTTGTAAAACATTTGCTGGTGCCATATCAACTTTAGTAACAACAACGAAAACAGGTACACCAAGTGCAAGAGCCAATCCCTTTAAATTAAAATAATAAAGATAAATCTAACAAATATTTCCCAAATGAAAAAAAACCGATTAGTGTAATCCCTGGAGAATTAAAATGTCAAAAATACAATGTAACTGCTCTTGCTAATCACAGGAAAATTGTTTTATTCTATTTATTTTACAGAATATTTCTTCGCTATATTTTTACTTAATTCTTTAGAACTACAATAAGGAAATAGTTCATATATTACAATGATATACAGTCTTTGATCGATATATCAACAACGTCTGTCAGAATTTGTGGGAAGTGTAAATTTGTACCCTGTATATTTCAACACTCCTTTTAGATTGTGTTTTACAAAAAAAAAACCTAATAATTAGTTATCTTACTAGATGTTCTTTTGTCATACCGATCACACCAGCATTCGCACCGACCTAAATCAAATACCGAGGAAAAAAAAGAAATTTTTATTAGAAAAAATCAACTACTTTCTTTCTTTCTTTTTCTTACCATTAACATTGCATAATCAGGAGCATGACCTGTCATACCAAATACAGTTGTTTTTAGATATTTTTCTAAAACAAAAGTTTAATTAATCTTTTTTATTCATGAAAATCAAATATTCTCTTACCATGTCCAGCTAAATCAATAAATGTTACAACCTAATAAAAGAAATTTTTGTATCAATATGTATGGTTAAGATAAAAAAAAAAAAAAAATTATTTACTTTTGTAGATTTCTGACAAATATCAGTCCAATCAAGTGCTTGATTACCATGAGTATCCGGTCTATTGACAATCGCACCTTGAATATCAAAACCTAAGATATCCTACGAAATAAACAACAAAAGTCATATTTTGAAAAAAAAAATGTTTCTTTTTTAAGAATCCTACATTTCCCACAGATGATGTTCGACCAGTTTCCATTTCATGTTTATGTCGAAAAAGTTTTTGTCGGGCAATACCACGACCATCATCAAGTAATCCATGTGTTAAAACACCAAGAAGTGTTGATTTACCAGCATCGACATTACCAGTTACTGCC